CTTAGGAGGATTGGAGAGGTGGCTTACGAGCTTGCTTTGCCGCCTAGATTGTCGGGTGTTCATCCGGTATTCCATGTGTCCATGCTCCGGAAGTACATTGGGGACCCGTCTCATATTTTAGATTTCAGTACAATACAGTTAGATGAAAATTTGACTTATAATGTGGAGCCAGTGGCTATTTTGAGTCAACAGGTTCAAAAATTGAGATCAAAAGATATAGCATCAGTGAAAGTACAGTGGAGAGGTCGGCCCGTGGAGGAGGCTACTTGGGAGACCGAGCAGGAGATGCGGAGCAGGTACACGCACCTATTTGAAACTCCAGGTATGTTTCTTAACTCGCTTGCGGATGAGCGTTTTTTTAGTTGGGGAGAATGTAATGACCCGAACCGTCGTTTCCTGTATTTTCATCTCGTATTCCCCGTTAAATGCTTATTCATGTTTCAATATGTGTACTTGGTGAATTTGAGTCAATTCGGATCGAGTTTGGTATGAAATGGGACAATTAGTCTCTTTAAGGAAGAATTAGTTTGGAAAAGTCAACCGGACGTTGACTTGTGAGTTAGAGGGCTCGGAATTGAATTCCGATAATTCGGTTAGTTTCGGGGGATGATTTAAGGCCTAGGAGCGTAATCGAAATTAATTTTGGAGGTCCGGTGAAGAAATTAGCTCATTTTGGCGAAGTTAGTATTTTGGCGTTTTCCGGTTGATGGTGAAATTTTGATCCGACGGTCGGAATGGAATTCCGAGAATTTCTGTAGCTTCATTGTGTCATTTTGGACTTGTGTGCAAAATTTGAAGTCAATCGGACGTGATTTGATAGGTTTCGACATCGGAAATAGAAATTTGAAATTCTAAAGTTCATAAAACTTGGATTGGAGGTTGATTCATGATTTTAGCGTTGTTTGATGTGATTTGAGGCCTTGAGCAAGTCCGTAATGTATTTTGGGACTGGTTGGTATTATTGGTCGGGGTCCCGGGGGCCTCGGGTGTGTTTCGGATGCCCAACGGGTCATTTTTGGAAGATTTTTGCCGTTTTGAGAATTCTAGAGATCCGAATTTGATTTCGAGAGTTCCAAAATTTAAATCATGAATTATAGGACTGATCTGAAAATTTTGGTTTAATTTCATCAAGTCACGATTGGGTTTTTGACGTGAAATGTGAGTTAATTGTTTAACGAGCGAAATGGGTATTGAACTAGGCAAACGAGCTCCGAATTGAGTTTAGATTAAAGGGTTGTGTTCGTATTATTATTTGTGACTCATAGGAACAAGAATCGTCTAATTCTGAGTTCGTATGATATAGTTAGAGCCATTTTAGTGAAAAATGGCTGTGCTGCAAATTTCTTAAAAGCTGCTGTATTTTCTGCAGCAGTGAGCAGTACCCGCACGTGAACAATAACCGCGCGGGTGAACAGAAATAGTGACCGCACGCGCATGAACAGTGCCCCCGCGTGAACAGTACAGAAAATTTCTGGACAGATTTAATGTCTAGCAGTCCGAGTTTGGTCCTTTTTTTTGACTGCTTGGGATAGCGCTATATTGTGCCGTTATGAGATTTCATGTTTTCAGTCGTTATTTATTTTTATTACTCACTGGGTCGGAGTACTCACATTACTCCCTGCACCATGTGTGCAGATACAGACAGAGCTGAGTTCGCTCCTGAGCGTTGATTCTTTCCAGACCAGGCGGTGACTAGGAGTAACGAGGTAGTTGTTGACGTCCGCAGCCCCATTTTCTCCTTTATCTTTGTTATTTATGATAATTCCAGGCTTTGTAAAATATTAGTAAACTCTGTAGTAGCTCATGACTTGTGACACCCCGATTTCGGGCTGAGTTGGGAGGGTTTTCTTTGTTCTATCACGTTTATTTCGCATTTAAGATTATGTTGCCCATGATTTAGACTTATTCCTGCTAAGTAATTATAAAGAGATGTACTGTTTTGTGGATTGGCTGGCCTTGTCCTCACGAGAGGCGCCATCACGACCGGGTTGGGATTTTGGGTCGTGACATGTAGTCAATACTCCCTTATTAATCTACTTATTTTAGCATGACTTAGTACTTTTAGATTATCTTTATTTTTATTATGGCTTTTTAATTAGCAATATTGATATTACATGTCCTTATTGTTGAATATTTTAGGATAAGCCATGACACATCTTATATTTTGTATTATTGTCACGACCCAATTTAGGATCATGACCGGCGCTTAGGAGCAAGTGCCCCTAAGTAAGCCTCATTGGTATTTTACAGAAAATCGGACAGAATTTCCCCTATTTTAGGACTATCCAAAAGTTTACCCTATCTCAAAAATCAGCAACAAAACCAACCTATATCGACCAAATATCTCATAATCTTCATCAACTATTCAAATAGTTATTCACCACTATTAATCAATTACTTGCAACACGATAATCTTAACTTCATCTCCAAAATACCATGAGAGAATCTAATACTAGTCATGGGTCTAATAATGACGAATACTCATGACACTAATAAAATGAATATGGAGTGACTCTAAAAGTTCAAAAGGAGAGAACATAATAAATAAATAAACTATTCGCCCACGCGAACAAATGCGGGGCTCACCAGGAACTATCAACTCGTGTACTCTAATTAAAGAAATCCTTGCTCGCGTCAACTGTTGTCTCTATAAAAAAAAAATAGCAGGGAGTGAGTCGCTAGCTCAGTGAGTAATAACACTTAACCACAACCGTTTTTGATTGGGGACAAGTCAGAAAACATGCTTGTATAATAATCACAAAATAAAATGCCCTTTTTAAAACGGTAATAATAATCAGTCTCATCATGTGTTTCCTGTAACAAAATCAATTTAACAATTCAGTAATAAACTCGGTAAATACTGTGTCATAGCAAATCTTTATATTTTGGGAGGTTTCAGAAAAAGATCATGTAATCTGTATCACTGTGTGGACCCCTTCGTAAAAGAAGTCAAATATAACTATAGGTCCCTACTCGAGGGAAAACTGTAACTGTATGCTAGTTCTACCTTCCCACTAGCGAGGGCTCTAACTGTACTCGGTAATCGATAAATACAAGGTGCACCAGGTCTAACGAACCCGTCGTTAGCTACGGAATCCTTTAAAGTCTCCTCCCATTCATACTTTTCTTTGTAAACAGTAAATCTTCACATGGAAGCATTTTCAAAACAGTACAGGGCATTTTAAATTTTTATCAAATCATGTAATCCAATTCCGGTAACGGTAATCATATCTCTAGTAATAGTAAAACATGTCAATAACAGTGAGAACATTTTAAATAATTGTAAACATCTCAATTAAACTATTCATTACCATATCAGGTAAAGGACTTGTCCCTCGTGCAATTTCAAACATTCGATAACACATTTTATTTTCAAAATAATATATAAACCATGCAGATTATGAAAATACAAATTGTGGTAAGATTACTACTCACAATACTCGTGTCAAAATACCAAGCACGTCACCTCGAGCCCTCCATACAACTTGTTACGATCAATCTATAGTATCACAAACACGAATTTAAGTGTCAAACTTCATGAACTACAAACATAGGCAGGTTCTGTTTTATCCACTTTCCTCTTAGTTCCATTTGAAATCAGCTTAATTAGGCTACCCATGTCCCTATCGAAATAATTCTTTGTAATTCCTATGTATTACCAATTCAACAACTAATTAATTTCATCATAAAAATCATCTTTAATACTACCCACTATAATTAAAGAACAAACTAAATCCCAATATCACTATTGAAAAGTTAAACAATATGAAACCAAACTTCTTTCAGAATACTTACGTTGCTAGCTTTTGAAATTGCTTGTTAATTCTTGGATGCCAAACAGAGTACTTTATTCAAGAAGAAAACAAACTGGTGTGTCTTGCACCTCTCCAAGCATCGCATCCTCGCTTCTTCAAGCCAGCAGTTGGGTTTTGACTCAAAGTTGCTACTAAGTTTCCTCGCTCTCACTTTGTTTACCGATTTGAGTTGTAATTATTTCCCAAGTTTTCCTTTATGTATTATATTTGTTGGAAGGAAAATATCCTCTCCAAACCCTGATAAACCTCACGCCACACCATTCAAAGGGGCTTAGCCTCTTAAATTGCTTCATCCCCCTTACCTCGTATTATTGAATATATCATTTTAAAAATTCACAAAAAAATATTTTAAAAATATTTTTGGTCATAAAACAAAGAGTATGTTTCTTGAAAATGATGAATGTTGATCTCATTAGCCTAACTCAAATAAAGAAAGAAATCATTCTCTATAAAAGTCTTAAAATATTTTATTCTTATTTCAAAAGACTTCTGGGGGAATATCTTATTATATTTAAAGTTATTTATCTGACCTAATATTAAAAACAAGAAAGTAACACATAAATATTACTCCTTTTGTTTTAATTTATTTGAACCTATTGACTGGACACGTATTTTAAATTAAAAAAAAACTTTTAAAATTTGTGGCCCTAAACAAATCAGAATAGTTGTATGGCTATAATTATTTTGAAACTTGTGGTGGTAAACATGCCAGAGTTTTTATGTGGTTATAAAAGCTTCTCATTAAGAGTAGAATTAGAAGTTCAAGCTAAATTATTTCCAAATTTAGAAAGGGGTCATTCTTTTTTAAACGGACCAAAAAAAATAGGCTCACATAAACCGGAACGGAGAGGGTATTATCAAGATTCTTTAAGGATTTATCAAGTAAAACCTATTTATAATTAACTCTTTTTTCTCTTTAGAGATTTGGAAACGAAGAGGTTGTCCCAATAGCTCAAGGAAAAATTAATAACTATAGTGTAAAATAAACAAATGAGTGATATTGAGTTAATATTTTACAAAAACAATAGCTTATAAATGTATTAAAAAGACATCCGAAGTTGTCATTTGTTAAAATAAATTAAAAGGAGAGAAAAATAATTAATAAATTCATTTCGAATACATAATATTGTCTTCTCCTATCTTATTATTGTTTCAAGTTCGTAATTTACTAATTTGACTCTAAATATTATAATATAGTTAATTTTTTCTATTGTCTAAATATTTTTAGTGTCAATTCTCACTCTTATAAAAATAAATGTCTGTACCCTACAAGGTCTTTTGGTTCACAAAAAAATATACTGGGATTACAATCCAAAAATTATAATGCAAAAATTAAATAAGAAACAAATATTTATTAGATAGTTTTTGATTTATAAATATTTGGTTCACTAGATTAAAAATAAAATATATGAAATATAATATAAAAATATATTTGATTTTTCCATATAAAAAACTTGGATAAATTTTATTTTTAACTTTAATCTTGGTCTTTTTAAAGGATTTTGGAATAAGAACTTTGGAGAAGAATATTTTGGTCATTTAGTTATTTTATCCTGGGATAGTTAATTTTTACATTATTATCCCACATGAATGTAGAATAAAAATAGTAGCTAATTAATATTTTGGTATAACTATTCTTGCAATTTCTTATACCGAAAAAATTCAACCAAACATGAAACTGATTAATCTCACATTGTACCTTAAATTGTTATCCTTCAATTTTGTCTAATGTAAAATTTATTTTTAAATTTTAAATATTGTTTTGTAATTATTGAGTGTAATTTTCAAAATATTACACATAAAATTGATGAAGAGAAAATACTTAATTATTTGTTCTAATAGTTGAGTGCAATTTTTAAACATTGTACCAAAAAACGATGAAGAGAATACATTATTTGAATATGAAGGGAGTTCAAATATTATATAAAACTGTATTATCTTTTATCTAATTTTATTTATACTACTNAATCTTTTATCTAATTTTATTTATACTACTATTAAATGCTAGGAAAAAAGTATAAATTTAAACTTAAAATATTTGTACTTGGCTTTAAAGTGTCGGAACAAAAATTGTGATCCAATCCAATTTTAATGATGCTATGTATCGGATTGTTTTACTTTGTTGGAGAACCTTTTATATGATTCCTTTTTTTTTTATAGTATTCTTATTAAATCCTAAATATTAGGATTTCAATAAGGAATGATTTGGGTAAATAAAATTTAGTAATTTTAAAGTCCTAAATATTAGGAAAATAACTTAAATTACAAGTTAGTCCAATGTGAAATCTATTTTTAAAGGGTAAAAAAGGTGAACGATATTTCGCTAAGGGTCTTCGTGCTTTTAATATAGTATAGATTATTAGCTAAATGACCAATTTGCCCTCTTTTAAAATTATGGGGGTATTACAATTATTTTCTTGGAAAATACTTTATATAGTTGTATCTTACTAGGATTAAAGAAATATTTTGAGCACAAGTTATATGTTTTGCTCTACGAAGATTTTATCGAAAAAAACCCCGAAAAAATCCGAATAACCCGAAAACCCGAGATTGAAAAACTCGAGTTTTAATGGTTTGGTTTGGTCTTTAGATTTAATAACCCAACACAATTGGTTTGGTTTGTGTCACGACCCGGATTTTCCCACCCTCGGGAGTCGTGATGGCGCTTACACGTAGAAGCTAGGCAAGCCACGAAATTAGGAATCTTTAACTATTTTGTTTTAATCCTTTTTACAACTTATATTAACAAGTGATAAATATTTAAATAACATCGGAATATGAGATTAAGCGGAAGACTAAGACAAAATAAACCAAAATAATACGAAAATCAACATATGCCTTTACCCAAAAACTGGAGTCACAACATTCATGGACTAACTATGATTACTATATACAAATGTCTGAAAGAAAGATCACTGTCTGTCTCAGATACAAATGATAACAGAACATAATAAAAGATAGAGGAGACGCCGGGCCTACGGACGCCTGCAGGGCTACCTCGGAGTCTCAGTGGACTGAAGGCTGGCTCCCCTACTACTGCTGACCAAGTGCTGCTCCGATATCTGCACAAAGTGCAGAGTGTAGCATCAGCACAACTTACCCCATGTGCTGGTAAGTGTATGGCTTAACCCCGGTGAGGTAATGACGAGACTAGGACCGGACTCCAGATAAACCTCTGCAGTTATATAACATAAGGCGGAAAATAAACAGGAATAAGCAGTTTAAATGGGAGGGTGTACATGCTTCGGGGACATATCAAATCCAACAACAACTTAATAAAATATGAAAGGACAATACAATATCTACAACAATACAATAACAATACTGTTGCGGGCGCGCAACCCGATCCCTTATCATTTAATATTGTTGCAGCGTACAACCCGATCCACATATATAATTGTTGCGGCGTGCAACCCGATCCAATATAATATCTATTGCGGCGTGCAACCCGATCCAATATAATATCTATTGCGGCGTGCTACCTGATCCATAAATATATATAATAATGTTGCGGCGCACAACCCGATCTATATATAATAAAACTGTTGCGGCGCGCAACCCGTCCCAAATATACAGTCAACAGTGATCATAATAACAGTCCCAACAAAGGGTCAACAATAAACTACACTATCCCGGCAACGGAATTCAACAATACAAGTATATACGTCCCGACTAGGGAGAATCAGCTATAACCAATCTTAACTCAACTCCTACTTATCTCAATTATCACCATTTCTCCATCATAAGTATCTTCCACGAAAATAAACTTAAGTCTTTACTCATTATCAAGAATTCACCCACTATAGCATTCGTAGTATCATTTAGGGATACAACAAGTATCAATTTAGGACTCACGGTCATGCTCGATACCAACGTATAGATACTCGTCAACATGCCTATTTGTCGTACTCAACAAGAAGCAATTAACAAATAGGACTCAACTCCTAATCCCTCAAGCTAAGGTTAGACCGAACACTTACCTCGATGCCTCGAACACAACTCAAGTTTCAATTATAGCTTTACCCTTTGATTCCACCGCCAATTCGCTCGTATAATTGATTTGGAGAAGAAAGGTTGTTTGAAAAATCACCTCTTATGTTTTTGGATTTCGAAAAATGAAAAATAACTGAAAATATCGTCTAAATATACTGCCCTCAGATGCCCTGTGCGGACTGCACAAAATCAACTGCGGCCGCACAACACTACTTGTGTTCTGCAGTGACAGGTCTTAATATTTTGGCCATAACTTTCTCTACCGATGTCCAAATACCTATTATAATATGTTTCTGCAAACTAGACACGAAAGGCTACAATGTTCGTTTTTGAAACAATTTAAAATTCCTTATGGATCAAAAGATATAGGCTTACGAAGTTGGACCAGGGAAGTGTTCTTCACCGCGGACCGCACCAAAACTAGTGCGGCCGCACGAGCCCCTCTGCGGCAACAGTCCATATCGTGCGGACCGCACTGACCTGTTCAGAGGCCTCCCACCTCTCTGAGCCTGCAACAACTCTATTTTTAAGCCTAAGACGTCCCGGAACCTACCCGAAACTCACCCGAGCCCTCGGAACTCCAAACCAAGTGTACACAAAACTTCAAAAACATCCTACAAATTTATTCGTGTAATCAAATCATCAAAATAACATCATGAACATCAAATTAAATCTCAAGATCAATAAAATTTTCTCAAAACTTCTTTAAACATCAATTTTTGCAATTTAAGTCCGAATCACGTCAAATGACATTCATTTTTCACCAAATTCCATAGAAACGTCTTAAATCATGTATAAGACATGTACCGCGCGCCGAAACCAAATTACGGGCCCGATACCATCATGTTCTAAGCAAATTTCATTTCAATTTTTCTTAAACAATTTCAGAAAATAATTTCCTTTAAAAATTCATTTCTCGGGCTTGGGACCTCGGAATTCGATTCCGGGCATACGTCCAAGTCCCATATTTTCCTACGGACCCTCCGGGACCGTCAAATTATGGGTCCGGATCCGTTTATCCAAAACGTTGACCGAAGTCAAACTAACTCATTTTATAAACAAATTGTTATTTTTTTTCATAGATTTTCATATTTAAGCTTTCCGACTATGCGCTTGGACTGCGCACACAAATCGAGGTGACTCTAAATAAGGTTTTCAAGGCCTCAGAAACACAGAATTTAATTTAAAGCAAGTAACAACCGTTTTCCCTCGAACGGATAGAAGAAGGAAGTACCTGAGTCGGGAAAAATATGGGGATACCGGCTCCGCATATCGGACTCGGACT